ATCTACGTATACATTAACGTTGACTCCATATTCCAGCTATACTGCGACGGACTGTAAATAATCGAGTCTGGACCAGACAATCCTGTGATCAACAGCGCGAGCTCGAGCATCGGTACAGACTATTGGGATACGATGACGTGTGTCAACCATGTCATTTCGCAATAGTGGAGTGGGTAAGGTAAAGTTCCAGCAATATCACGGCGTGGACAGCAGAAGTGGCCTTCACACACTGTACCCATGTGGAGAATCGAACCCGGGTCTTCGGCGTTACGAGCGAATGCTTTAACCATTCGGCCTCCCCATCGCCACCACGGAGGATTAAACCAGACATATCTTCACGAACTGTGTGCCGTGTTGGGACTAAATCACTGGGTGTTTGGCGAGACAAGCGAACACTTTAACCAATAGACTATCCGCACCGCCCACTCAAGAACAAATGTGTAGCAACTCACGCTGATGCTATCTACTCCTATAAGCAGGTATACATTACAAACGAATGAAAACGCGTTCCAAAATTCCCTGAATATACGAGGTTTGATAATCTTACAACATGCGCAATTCGGTTCGTGGAACACATTTATAAACAACAGCGTATACCAGATCTGATTGATTGCTGGTGTATCTACTCTCGGCTTGGTAGTCTATATCTAGATTAAGATCTCAAAACATGGACAGATGTGTAACAGCAATCACTTTGACCTCACAATATAATCTATTGCAGCTGGCACTATTCGTGTTCGCTGTACGACATTAACACTAATCTGAGTGTCAATACACTAAAGTAACTTGGGAACTGGTTACTTAAAAAACCTTGATCTCCGATACTGTTCTGACCGCTATTTTGGAAACGGCGCGACCTCTTGCAGCAACGTGTAGCATGCGATTGCCTTGAGAGGAATACTCATGTCAAACTGGCTAAGCCCGACGCAATTGTTTAAAAGTCTGACATGATAAATGTACACCCTTTCCGATGTCAAGTGATTGTTTGGTTGGTATATATCGTGAAACGTGTGAGTTTGGAGCTGTCGGACAGATAAGACTCATCTTAAAACGGGCAGCCATGTTGATATCATGTCAAACATGCCCGGAGTTCCTGCCACCAGGGGGCGCTATGGCGACAAAGCATGCCGAGATGACGGTCGGGTTTCTACAGAGAAAAGTATCCCCCGGACCGTTATCAGGGTGCAATTATGACCGAATATGTAATACAAATGACAAGCTTATGTTCCCGTTGTGGTTTCAGGGGTAGTCTTCGTGGGCGTGGGTTTCGTGGGAATGGTAAGGATCGTGATCTGGCTCATTGGACCACCTACGGTCCGGGATTTGAAAATCCACGAACCTTGTTAGCGTGTGCAGGAGATGGACTTATGTAAAAACATAAACATGCTCCTACAAACGACAAGCTGGTTATAGGTGCGAAATCTGGCTATTTATCTTGTTAAACAAGAAACATGCCGGGACTCAGGTGGGATTCGAGGCGTGGACTTTAGACTTTCAACAAACATTTTTTTATAACAAACCTTTAAGAATTCTTCAGTATTGAAGTACTAATTCTGGTAGCACAACAGACAACGGAAATGTCTGCCAATAAACACTGAACTACAACTGAAAATATATGTACGTATACCGCTCAAATAGGTTAAGGAACACCCGATGTTTTTCATATGACTGTGATTAATTACGGCGGGTGGATCTTGGAAGAGAAATTGTTTCTCTTCCTTTACTTGTTTTGAGTCATGTGTACATGTAGTAACGTTTTGTCCTTGCAATAGCTAGATTTCAACAGCCGCTTTCCAAAATATTGTTTGATATAATTCAAGCCATTAGTTTTTTACGTATTACATATTTAGTTTATTTTCAGTTTACCTCGAATGATTCTTGTCCCTCGCCATTTCTAGAATATTGCTCAAAGTGGCGAAAATATTCTCTCACTTTCTCGTTCCAATGATCTACAGGAAGCGCGCAAGACAAGTAACGTTAAGCAGCAGCAAAGCGACCTAACTCCTATTCAGCTGTGGATTTCATAGGAAAAATGTAATGGTGGATATAAACTTGTCTTTTTTACACACTACATTGTCTAAAATATTTCCACCATCTTCATCTTCGTACAGACAAACTAATTACGCCAATATGTTTTACATTCTATGGCATTGTTACCAAAAAACACATTTACCTGCGGCCTCTTAAATAAATGCTATAATGTTTTTTCTTCAAAAGACATTTCAAAAGTCACACGTTGTGCATGCCTGATCCCAACATAATAGTACATGGAACGTACTGACACATCAATATACAATTATTTTTCACTTTTAATGAGCCTTTTCCATAATTTATGACACCATTACTAAAAATACTCTGATGCAGAAATAACAATTGTTCTACTGAATCACAAAACACCCCAGTTTCGTCCGTGGAAACAATTCTCAGTAAGCTTCCACACTGGAAAAATCATTTACTAACATATTTTATGTGCTATAGCCCACCAATGTTTTAACATTACATTGTAATATCATCAAGCAAACAGTCCCAACTTTCTGGTATTCACACTTTGCTATAAAACATGAAAACCATTACCAAATATATTTTGACGATTCTTGTTTCAACCGTGTCAGTTGATAAATATGCACCTTTCTAAGGAAATAGACGTTAATTGTAAAACACATATAAGAATGTTTTCATCTGTTTTGTGTATTAAAAATCTGAAAGATTCAATGTTTCAATACAAACCTGCAAAGCCATTGTATTATCAACTCGTGTAGCACTGCAATGGTTTCTGTGTTTGTATGCATGAGTTCATTTTTATTGAATGGGAATATTGCCCATGGTGTTAATTATTTTCAGAAAGCTCTGTCCAGAACTTTGTGGGAGATCAACGTATTTGTATATCCCTTTGCACAAGTCAATGTTCGTTCAGGCAATTAATTAGTTTAACGCGAACGGATTTCAAGAAACACGAAGAAAATAAAAGTTTCGTTAAAAAAGGTATAATAAGTTCTCTACCGTGACACGTACCTACAATTGCAATTTAAACTCATCTGAAGTTTAACAAAAGATCAAAATGTGCTTTGACCAGAACAGGTATTTACAGCTACATGTTGTAAACAGTTGTAAAGAAACAATCATCTGTGTACCACAACAACGACAGCAAATCTGCCCACAACACCAAACAGTATAGAAAAGTACTTGACTTTTAATGAGATAATTCCGTCGTCCATTGCAGTCTTACACAATTAAATATTCCTTAGTACGTCTTACAACCTCAACGCGTAATTGAAATCTACAGTGCAACAAAAAACTCCGAACAATTAACACGGAACGTTGTACAATATTTCTTTCTAACGACAATCGATTAAAATGTAATCGCTCACCATCAAATTGAAATCGACACTCAAAACGTAACCTTTCCTAATCATTGCGCTTTTATCACTCCCACCGCCCTGCACATTGTGTTTATCCGCGACGGGTTATAGTCCCGCTGGTCGTAAAAAGGTGGTTAATGATAAGTGACCGATGATGACCGCTACCTGCCATGGAGGACAATGGTCAGTACCTGTTAGGTGTTACGGTATGATAGCTTAATCAAACGGTGACACCTACCTATTTACCTGTCCCGAAACATCCCACCTGAGCAAAGGTATACACAGTTTAACTTTCGATTAAGAAGATAAAGGGCTTGAGTTTCTACAATATGTTCTTTAGAAGTGTTTAGTTTAAACGGTTCACGTTTCGTTTCCAATTTTGTAGATAAATGCCATTGCGCAAACAGACACTTGTTTTGGTGAAAAAGATTTTGTTAAAATGAGCTGATTGGTGGTGAAACGATGTTGCGTGAACGAACATCTGTCTGATTTAAATCAAATTTTGTCCCTAATACTTAAACTCTTTCAATTTAAAGCAAAATGTTGTAATCGTTTGAGTATAGCCATTGAGTAGTGAATGAATGCCAAATGCCAGATCGGGTGTTTGTTACAGTGTCATTAGTACATATGCTTTGAGAGAAATTCATGTCTTTTAAATAAAGAATTATTTTTTTAAAAGAAAAGAAATTGAGATCACAAACATGATCACATTAAAGGAAACGAAGGCTTACCAAATCCCATTTCTGAATATGCTTGACAAATAAAAGAAGTGCTGTCGAATTCATTTATTCCCATCAAATATATTTGTGTTCGAAATCAGTTATGCTGTGATTTAAAAATACCAAACGGTCATAATAGCATGTTCATTTAGTACTACATTCTTTTGTCTTTGATCGTTCACTCGTCAACTTTAATATGGCATTAATATTTCCAAACAAAGCATTACTCTACATACAAGTCAATACTCGAGCCAGAGAAATACATTATGGCGTTATGCCCAAATAAAGACTTTACCTGATTATTATGTAAATTCCGATGTGTAAGCCACAAACTAAGAAATCAACAAGCTTCATTACAATGACAAAAGTCAATATTGATTTACTTAATTGGAATAAATGTTATCATAATATAATTGAAGATCGATATTACTTCCTCTTAGTTTGTCCATTTTATAAGGAAATTAAAAAGGTGTACATCCAGTTATTATTGCGTGTATCGAACACAAACAAAATTTAATCAATTATTAGCAACAAAAACTGTGAAGCTTATCAAAAATATATTTGAAAAGAAACCTGCCCGTTTGAAGTATTATAAATATTATATTAAGATAGCATAACATTTGTCCAGCCTGTGTATTAGTCTGATATTAAGCATTGTTCTCTGGGCCATGTGGCCTCTGATTAAACTTCTTGATATTTCAAATTGCAGGAAAGAGTGTTCCACTATCAGGGCATGTTCTGTAAATCTGTCGTCATAAAGTGAAAATATCATTCAGGAAGTCTACGATGATGGTCGCTCTAATGCAACTGTTTGTAAACAAATAACCGTTAACCGGTTAGGGCATGTATGTATTTATGTGGCTATAACAGTTTAGCCTACGTGTACAAATAATTGGCAAAATTAAGTATTCAGCCATGTTTGAAGCTGTCTAAAAATGAAACAAATAGAAATGTTTTTTCTTTTAGTGACGCATTTGAAACGGTCATATAATTGTGTGTGTTTTTGTCATAAATCTGTTTGCAGATTTTCAACAAAGCAACGTTTGATAAGGTGTGTATTTTTTCGAACAAATCCAGTTTTCAAGTGTATAAATTCATTTGCCCAATAATTCACTATCATTACCGTTACAGATGTAACAACGTTTCATTGGTGGTGCTACAGATCCCACACGTTGTTTTACCTCGATTTAGACTCCTTGATTGCAATAATCATTCATGTGTTACATCTTGATTCCAAGTCTCTCGATGTGTGAATTGTCACACCGATTAGATATCCTCATTGAAGGGTGTCATTGTCCGTGTCCACAGCTATCAAATTAGTTGATTGGTTCCAGTAGTGTGTTTGAGTGGAGTGGATTGTCTTGATGACTATTTACGAATGATAACAATTGATGATGAACTTCAAACGACCCGCCTTCTCCCTTCGTCATTGTCGTTCCTGGAAAAGATCAAACTTTAATTAGTTGTGAGAAGTCAGTATCTCTATTGTACAAAAGTCCCCCTCCATTGAATCAAGTTTATAATTGAACCAATTCCAATTGTCTCCGAATTAAATGCATATCTCGAGCAATAGAAGAACGGATTTGAAAATACGTTTGAGGGCACTTGAAAACATGTGTTGACCTCTTATTGTAAGCTCGCAGTTTAGTTAATTCGCCCTTTAAATGTGTTAAAGAGGTCGAAAACTTTAGCTTTCAATAGAAATTGCCCCCTTATTGGAAAATCCCAAGGGTAATGAACGATGGTCCTCAAGAATGGGACAGAAGAATCCCGATCCGAATGAAGTTACGATTGAAGTTTTCATATAAACCTTAACACTATTCCCTTGAAGACTAATCCGATCAACAAGGTCTTAATAAGATCATCAAAAGGCCTCGGTACCGCTTGTTTGATGGAATTAAATAGCATTGATACTTTAACACTTATTAGTTCGCACGAGGGAATTGGACAGCCCCGAGATTCAACCAAATCGGAACTAAAAGGTTACTTTTTCTTGGACCAGATGGTCGCTTTGAACTCACCGATGGGCGTTTTCATGTTTTCAATTCTTTTCAAAAAGTGTAAAGAAATTGGGCAGCTATTTCCGTATTTACCAACTGTAGTCACCAAACCTAACCATGTCTTGAATATAATAATGGGGCTTTGATATTGCTGAAAACACCACGGAATGTACGCTCAGCATTGGACATTGAGAGGTTCGGCAAACACGTCATTTATCATTGTGAGTCCTGAAGGACCCAGAACTTCGATGTTCTTTTCTAGATCACACAACATTTAACAACTCATTGAAATTTCTTTACAACAAAGTATCAATATTTATTTTACATTGTGATGACATTTTTTAAACTTTGCTGTTTCGAGGCTGCTTTGATCTCGATTTGCGTATATGAAAAGTGTTTGGATACCTAATGCGCGTTTTACTTGTGTTAAAGGAGCTGTTTAACCTCATGAACTGAACATGAAATTGAAATAAGACGCTGTCACTTGAAGTGTGCCAAGCTTCAATAACATCATCAACAGCACGTGTTCAGTTTTATGTTTCTTTTCTAAATGTTCACTTCAATCAGTTTTGTCTCTTTCAGCTCAACTCCTGTTCTAGAAATATGAAAATGCTTGTCTTGTAAAATAAATTTTCTTTCATCTAAAATTAAAAATATGTTTTAGATGAAACACATGACTATTGTCTCCTATTCTTTTGGCATAACGTCTTACATGAGTTCAATCAGTTAATAATTAATGGAAACGAAATAATTATACAAACCATCTTTGCACTGACAAAAGCGTTCCTTATTGTCACATTGTCAAAATATTTCTTTGGCTGAAAGTTAATAACTTTTCAAGCTGCCGTGCGGTCTTTAATGCTAATATGGTCATGTACTTAAGGAAGAAAATGCGTTTTAAGTAAATTAAAAGACTTCTATTCAAAATGTCCAAACCGTTAAACATATGGGAATATTATACGCCGAAACAACATTTCTTTGGCCATTAAAGGGTCATTAGCGCTGATAATTACACAATTACGGGTTGGCTGATACCAGGTGTACGCGAAAAAACATTTTCTCTCGCATGTTGAGCATAGTACTCTGGGTGTGAGTGTGAATATGTGCGCGAGTGCATGTACGCATGCGTGCGTGTGTGCGTGAGTGTGAATATGTGCGCGAGTGCATGTACGCGTGCGTGCGTGCGTGAGTGAGTGAGTGTCCATTTGGTAAGGTAGCTATATTGGATTTCGGCGGAGATTGGGTGGTGGGGTTTGGGTATCAAGGAACGTTTCTTGCCAAATATGCCCCCAATGAATAATTTTCTTGGAAAATACCCAATCGTCTTTTTTATATGTATACTGAAATTGACAAGACATTTTATTTTGCTCCTTCAATAAAAAAGCTGTATGGTGTGAAAAAATACATTGTTCTAAAACACTCAGAACACACACACACACACACACACACACACACACACACACACACACACACACACACACACACACGCACACACGCACACACACGCACGCACGCACGCACACACTACAAATCAAATGGCTGATCTCCAGCTTAATGTCCTGGTTCTACATCGGTTTAGCAAATTTGGCTGCGCGAGGCAGAACGATGCTGGGCAGTGTTATGTGTCAAGGTGTTGTCAGCTGATACTAGAAGGATGAAGATGATGGATCCGATGACGCCGGGGATCTGACGTTAGTGTGTTCTACAGTGATGATCCGCAATACTGGACGGATCTGAGACCCGGGTCTCTCAGTCGTTTCTCTGACATTTGGATCAGGTGTTGAGAACGAGGGTTCTAGGTGTGGTTTTATTGCTATGTATGAGCACGTACGTGTATATATCCGTCACTGTCGTTCCGCTTCAGTCCTATAACACGAGAGGAGGGGTGAAATGGGGTTTAAATGTCGCGTTCAAGTCCAGCTTACTTTTATAGCGACATATGTGATTGCTTGTGTTGTCCAGCTACATGAAGGTTAGTGTGATATTGTGAGATACGTTCCTCAGTTTAACATGACTACTCCACTCAGATACATTAAACCGACCAGTCCTTGCTTTAAACCCTGTATGTCGATCGCCAGGCTGGGTAACAACAAGTCCCATATTTAAACTTCGTTTGGAATGATAGGCCCAGGGCCTAGATTTCGAAGCTGTCTTAGCGCTAAGATAGTCGTAAGTTAGTCGTAAGTACCATACATTAACATTAACTTACGACTATCTTAGCGCTAGGAGAGTTTCGAAAATCTAGGCCCAGGTGACCGAGACAAAACTTCCGCTCTTAGTAACTGCTGTTGGCTTTGAGCTGTGATCATAACGTTCCGCCATGTAAGTTTTATATGAAAATTCTATCAAAATGGGAATTCTTTGAAAAGAATATTTTGAAATAAATATCTGTACCTTTCACTTTGTTTATAAAGATGATAATACTTAAAGTGAGTGAGTGAGTTATTATTTAACGTCACATCGGCAATATTTCAGCCATTTCGTGACGAGAACATATGTGACATTGAAATGGAATAGATGTATATTATAAAAACCTGTCGACGAAGATTATACTTAAAGGACAGTGTATCAATACTAATGTAATATTCTAATATAATTTCCCCACTAATGTGATCTGAAAACAGAGCAAAATTAATTTTAATCCTAACACCACGGGAAAGCCAATTGTGTCAATACTGTACTTATCAGGGGGTAGAAGATGAATACCACTTCTTGCTTGTTTGTCCATTGTATGCGAATACCAGAAAAGAATACATACAGAAATATTTCAATTTGAACCCCCGAATAGACAAACTCTACACCCTCATGTCATCCCAAAATCAAAGAGTCACAAAATACCTTGCAATATATACATACCATGTCATGAATATCAGATCCTCTGCATTACAGATGTGATATTATTTACGATATATTCATTTCTATGGCACCCTCTGCTACTGCGTGTAAAAATGCACTATATGCCTACGGCCTTTTCAGTACTGTAAATAAAGATAAAGATTAATCCTAACACAACACTTTAACCTAAACATCCCAAAATGAAAACATATAATTTCTTTATGGAATCTCTGACATTCTACACAGAAGTAATAATTAAAAATTAGTAACTGGAATTTCCGGTTCATGGATCACATGATTGTCTGGTCTGAATACAGTCATGGCAGAAGTTCTGCTTCTCAGTACTCACTTATTAAAGGGAAATCGCGTGAATGACGCGTGCTACCAGTAGGACAGGACATGCTACCTTTTTCGCGAACACCTGGTGTCATCACTGACTTTCAGTGGTCCATTCATACGATTTTTGCAGCAAGTTTGCCCTTTGTCTCAAATGGAATATATATATTTCTGAGGATACTCAAGACTGGTGTTCTCTTCCAATGCGTTTTATTATAACATAAACATGCACCGCTCATGTATGCGTTTAATCTTTTCTGCTTGCGTGTCTTTAAGTTACCTGGGGCGGTGGAGTAGCCTGGTGGTTAAAGCGTTGGCTCGTCACGCCGAAGACCCGGGTTCGATCCCTACATGGGTACAATGTGTGAAGCCCATTTCTGGTGTCCTCCGCCGTGATATCTCTGGAATATTGCTAAAAGCGCGTAAAGCCAAACTCACTCACTCACTTTAAGTTACCTTGAAAAAAAAAACTCTTTTGTACTATTATGTAGAAATGTCAGATGGCTTCAGGTGATTCTGAGGTACAGGTAATGCTGTGTGTGAGTGACATGGACATAGTTACCCTTTGCGAATATCTGGTGTCATCAAGTTTCATGGAGCCATCTATATTATTTTCATTGTTTTGTTTTCGTTTCGCTCTATTGTATAGGTTATTCTTTGGTGCTGATGTCTAAAACAAATTAAGAAATAATTGTAGCGCAATTTTTTGTCTAAAATGATTCAGCAGTGCTTTAGAACAAGTGAGAGGTGGACATGCACTATAGGTTTAAATTTACTGACAACTGGTCTTTCATAACGTTGAATGTTTCTATTACAAGAACTGATATATTTGAGGTCTGAATCAGTAGATTGGAGATAATTTCAAAGATACTCGCAAATACATCGCATATGTATATCAAATAGTTCACACATCACGTTTTGCTATTCGTATAATTTTATCTTTTATTTGATATTTTTTTAATGGCACCAAGCGACAAGATCATGTCAATAAACGCAAGAAATGTGTTCTATAAGCAGATATATGAAGTCAAAGCCAGAGAATAACCAGTCTCGATTACTGCTGAAACAGATTCCATTGGACAAGAATGCCAAATAGCGGTGAGAATTATGAGGACAAATTGAAACTACATGTACTGTACGAGACAGGATTACTGGAGTCTGGTTATAAGTTACATATTATTGGTAACAAAACAGTGTGCAAAAGTATTCGATTTTGAATGGCGAAACCGCGAATTTTCCCAAGGAGATGGGTCCATTTCCAATGATTTCACGCATGGAAATCCTCCCCTAAATGTGATAAATACATTATGGATTAACAGAACTTAATACACATGTATATCCAACAGGCCACATTGGAACAATGATCCTAATACATTAAACCACCGATCATATTGAATAATGAGGATATACTAGTTCTTCCTGTGCCGATATTGTTTTGGGTTTTTCTGAACATATGAGAGGCCACAAACTGTTTTCCTGCCTTAGACACATTTGCAATATATGTATAAGTTAACTAAAACTAACAAAGCGACGAAAAAAGCGTTCTAATAATCATAAGAAATGCCTATAGAAAAGAAACGGTCAAAGGTCTCTATATCTGTTTTGCAGAATATAATTCCTTCTACGAATTCCTTTTCGCATTTGAACATACTTGAAGTTTCACAATAAGTATTTACAGCATTCTTATAAAACTGAACTGAAAAATAAGTCTTAACAGAACCAAACATGTCTCCAAACATGTAAACTAAGGATTCGATAACTAATATCATTTGGAGCACATAATGCCGCTATAATCATGGGAAAACAAAAACAAATTAATCACAAGAAATGCTAACAACGTAATCCTAAACGATTTCTTTTTTAAATTTCCAAGGGGTAAATCAATTGATAAAGCCAGCGGGAAATAAAACACTTAGATGACATCATTAAGTGTTTGACTAACCACTTTAGGAGCACTCACATGCATACTGAAACGCCTCTGACCAATCATCGCACAGGTTGCGCTCTTGGCAAGACAATTCAATCATTTCTAACTGAGAGTCATCTGTCAATTTCTTTATTTAATACCTGACAGAAAAATCATTTCGTATTAAGCCATCATTGTGCATTATTTGGTTATTGGATTTGGCTTAGTCCGTTCGCGTAGATGACTCTGTTACTTCAGATTTAAGCATATTCGATCGATTTCTACGATGGGAAATTAATAATTTAATCATGATTATTGAGTCATTTTTCATTGGAACAAATATGTAATGACTTTTGCGACACGATCACCATATTTCGGATCAGCTGTGTTAACAATAAGGCGCAATAGGCGGTTGGCATTTCCGAGAGGTTGGCACTCTTTCTCAAGACGTTTTCATTCTTAGACCTGTCAATGTTCCATAAATCACACAATTGTTCATTAAGGATTAATGAAAACTATATTGGAAATGACCGATCAATTGCTAGCTGAACAAACTGACCCTTGGTCAAACGACCGTTAATCTTTTAACCGCCCACGATGCTGGACAATCACAATGCCTGCACAATGGTGTGACTTTGGACAGATGAGGAGCATATCTTTGTTTAATTCTGTCAATCACTTCTCTCAAATCCATCCCTCAACAACCGCTCCCTTTCACGTGACCATAATCCACCATTACCGGAAATGACCGCCATTTTGTACACCACCTGGGTTCCCAGCCCTTCATTAATATTCATAGCGGGGCTCAACTGTTTCTATATTTCTTAACATCTTTTCAAGTCAGAGCAATTTACAAATGAGCCTTTTCACTCCATTCCTATCCCACCTGACAATACCTCCGCCAATAAGATCAAACAGCCTTCGCTTGTGTCAATATTATTCTACCTTGCGTTTCGACGTTTGCGCTTCATCCGATGTGTATCCCTTCCCTTGTTTTTTATTCTAATTAAATCTTACCTCCATAAAACTGGTCACTGTAGTAGTTATTACAGAAAACGGAGACAAACACAGGTGGCCTAATGACTCTTTAATCTGCTGTTTACATGCCGGCCTTTCAAGTACTGGGACTATCGTCCTTCTCGCGCATGGTGGTCCTGAGTGCTCCAACCGAATCTTTAACAAATACACCTTTGATTAAGATTGTTACTTCGAACACAACCACTGTGCTAAAACGGACAGTAAAATAGAAATCCCCTAGTTGAACCTGTTCCCTACAACACAAACACGATTCAACATTAATATGACACGGCAATAAAGGCTTAGGAAATCCCAAAATATACAAAGTAAACGGAAGTCGTTAAACTGGTACCGTGACGTTTCAACGACAGACAATTGTTACCTGCCTGCTGATTACCATCTCGCTATTCTCATGTGTAAGGTGCGAAAACATTGCTTCACCTATTTAGAATCGTTGGTGGCCAATGGCTTGTGAAATGATCCCGACTTTTGACCGGTTTTAGCTATTGATGGAAGGTGTGAGGTTCGTCTACGCATGTAATGGCATACCGGTGGGTGGACTGTGAAAAGAACGGGATGTATACGTACGTTGATGATTAGATTAGTAAGGTAGTGCTAATTTTCCTGAACAGGTGACGGTATGTCTCGAGTTCCTGTGACGGGTTTCTAATTCACCTTTTATAGTAGCTCGACATTTGAATCAGTGACGCAGAATGTTGAGTATGGTTGAACATAAACACTCATCTCGTGAAGAAAACACATGTTTGTAAACATTTTGAGAATTGTTGAAGTTATGTGTCAACTCCCGATATTAAAGTGAAATAACTGTGTTTAATTTACATTTAGTACAAAGGATTAGCTGTTCCATATAAACGGAATATGGTTTCACCAGATTAACGTTAAAAGTTCCATTCTGGTGGTGCCAATCTTCCATTATCGATCTGTTTAAATCAGTTATATTCGATGGAATGAAACAAGCAAACTTCACACTAGTATACACAAGTATCTTACCTGCACAAATGAATGCATGTTGAAAACTAATTTCGAACAAACGTTTATGTGTGCGCAATCTCCTTCATAGCATACAGTGGGTACAAGGATGTATATGAAATTATTTGTATGTATTAAGACAGATCCGATCAATATATATTTGTCTGTTCATAATTACTCAAAATACACAAAATTGTATCATTTTATCAATTTTAAAAGACTGGTCTTCATCATTTATCCGAAATGGAATTAATGCAAGTTGTTTTCTTGGAGGGGCTCATTTCTGTTTCATATTCCATCCGATTAATGTATACTAGTTTGATTGATTGATTGAGTTTTGGTTTTACGCCGCTTTTAGCAATATTCCAGCAATATCACGGCGGAGGACACCAGAAATGGGCTTCACACATTACCCATGTGGGGAATCGAACCCGTATACTAGTTTGAGAATCCAGAATTAATTAGCAAATAATCTTTACCAACGATAAGTTCGTGAGTTAATCTGCAAACTTAAACCGAGATGATGGGCTACTGAAAAAGGAAAATTAAATGCAGGTATAGTTTGTACATAATACATCATGAACAGTGAATTTTATTTCCAGTCGCAAACAGATCTCGTTTCTTAGTTCCATGGGGTCTGGGGGTTTTGTGGTAAAGGATGTTAAATGACAAATACAGATGCAGTCCCATAATTATTGTGGAGCATTTAAGAGATGGGTGTCAAGCAAATTCATTGAAAGTGTTGCATTTTTCTAATGTGTAAATATAAGCGACATACTCTTCACATAATTTAAAGGCTACATGTAACAGCAGATTTCATTGTGCGATTCTGAATGTCATAAGCACGTGTTTGCAAATCGTAGGCAAACAGTGGTGAGGTGGGTTTGACGACGCGTTCAAGATTATTTCACTTATAGCGACACGTGTGTGTGCTTAAAAGTGCATGGACTTTATAGTGCTGGCACACTGAGATACCTCTCGTCATTTAATATGGATACCCACTGACACACAGTATACCGACTCCAAGACTGTTTCATCCCCCGAATGGCAGGCAGGATAAGAGAGGTACATCTGTTAACGTCTTTTGGTGTGGCGGAGCCAGGGGATCGAACCCCGGGGACTTACAGGCAGACGCACTACCCTATGCACCACGGAGGCCGTCAATCAAATCGTGACGATAGGTGATTGCCAGAAGGTGAGCTTATGTTGGCATAAAGTTTGTGAGTTAAATAGAAACTTATCTTCAAGAAATTGTATCAATTTCAATTGATTTGTACAGCTATAATTTCGCTTATATTAAAAACATTAAGGAAATTATATTGCTGTTTTGTCTCCATATAATCAGTGTAACAATATCATCGTGAATGTAATATTGTCATAGTAACAAAACGTCACTGTCGATTATAATGTCCTAAATGGCTTTTTCAAGAATATTAATATGACCTCATTAGATCAAAGAGTTGTTTTGTGAAATACTGACATAGTATTAATAATCCTACATATTTTCCTCTAAGCAAGAATATTGTTATATCATCACAGTACACATGCTTAATATATTATAAGTATGTTTAACGATTCATATCTTCAACCCATAAGTGCAAGTGTTATTTCATCATGATCACAATGCCAGCGTGCTGTCATGATATAAATGTTATTACACATCATTATGAAATGAACGTTGTTAGCAAATATAGACAAACATCACACCTAAATGAATTTAATTACATATGTTTTAATGACTATTGTTGTACATTTATCATGTGTGCAAATAGTAAATCGTATCCATAGTGAATGCCGTGGCATCATGTAGACTAAAATTTTCTTTTTACCTACTTTATTTGTTCCGATGACAAGAAATCGCATTGGCAAGGTATAATGCAGGTTGAGGAATATACTATTTAAGCCCAGGTTTAAATGTAATAAAATGACAAGAAAAGTAAAAAGGAAAATTAAAACAAAAGATCGAGTGTGCCACTTTATATAGAAACTACATTAAGATCAGTTTGCGATATAATATTATTTACATACAAGTCTAAAATTGTTTAAATTTGATTGAAAGATATAATCATTTTCAGAAAAGTATTTGAAATAGAAACAATAAAGCATCGTGCGTTGATTTCTCAGCCGATTCAGAGGAAAAGGTTTAGAAATACTGTGGTAATTTTTCACGAAATGTGTTTTGTTTGTTTTCGGATTGAGGAGGTCCTAATTGATGACTTTTGTTTCATACGCGTTTACAAGTTATTAGTGTTTATAGCTCTATTTGATATTTAAAAGTAGTTCAACTAATTATTTTGGTACGGAGCAATGAACCGCCCCACTGCTTTGACTTCAGGGAAGGAAACTCGTAACTTTCTTTGACGCCTATCCTTTTCATCGCAACACAGTCGTAATAGTTTCTCAACGCTCGACTAATCCACAATAAACTCGTTTTCGATGATCAAAGTGAATGCAGACACTTTCATGTCAAATTCGTCTTTTGATATTGTCAATTTCACCTGTCAGGTGCGCTGTCCATATCTTCTCACTCATGCGCACACCACTGAAAAATCAGGAATTCTTCAACGTTAATTTCAAATTACGGCGCGGAAATTAAACATACATCGTGACTGACACATTCAGTTTTTACAACACTGCTATCACATGTCAATTTCAGAATGTAATTTACAAGGCGGCTTGATGTGTTTAAGGGGCCCGTGATATGAACATCAGCAATCAGCTGTGAAAGTATATTGACATGTGACCTTTCACGGCGGCCGGGGCATTGAGAGGTTGTTAGTTGCTCTAATGACAACAGAGTGATAAGAAATGCCTTGTAAATAACAGATTCTAGCGTCGCGTTACATCCATCAAGAGGTACATTTCATTGTTGTATTGTCAATTGCACAAAGGTGTGAGAAAGACATGTTGGATCCTGCGATCAACTGGAATGTTTTTGTCATTCGAAAGTTGCCTTTGCTACAAGAACGAATTATTCTCAGCGGGTTGACTGTGAAAACCTCAGTAATTCGAGACCCCGTTAATCCGAATGCAAGCTTTCCGGACAGACATTGTCGGTAATTTTGTTTGTATTTATTTACAGATGACATAATTTCGTAACAATAATTCATTTATCCGTACTTTTATTGATCCAGCACCGTCAATGACTGTTGAACTTTTTACCAAGTCAGTTGGTCTCTCTGTTAGTGGTCATTTTGACTCCGAGGCGTATCACGAACTTTGTAGCATATTTTTCATAAGTGTCAACGTATTGCACGTTTTAAACGAAATTTAAGACTGATTATTCCCTAGTGTTGACGTTTCATGTATATATGATTTGTTAGAAATTGTACACTGAAATCTTTTTCAGATATATCGAACGGTTAAATAAAGGGTTTCGCTTTTTCGTTTTCTTTATTCTTTTCTATTTTATGTACATACAGCATCATCATCACTCTTACGCACGTATGTCTATTTTGAAACTATGTGTTCCATATGTATCAAGAGTATGGCTAACTGAGGTGATGTTTGATATATTTCCTTTTTATATTATGTAATTAAACGAAAATATGGAACCCAGAAGAAGCTACATACATGTTCAATATTTGAATTAACATAAATAATCTGAATTACATTAATGGCGTTACAACTTGTCATATTACCTGAATGTGCAGTTGGGTTGAATACGACACACTCATATAACCTGTATTTACGCTGTATCTATGGTGACTATTTACAAAATGTAATACACATAGATACATGCGTACACATAAACATAGTTTTACATACAAACATGCAGTTACCTGCAAAGATACATTTACCTGCAAACACTACAAATAATACCTTGTGGTGCTGGTAGACACAGATCAACAGCAACTGATAAGTGCTACAACTCAGTTATCTATTGCAGTTGATCGGTGTTGCATTTAATATTTCGGAAACTAAACGTAAAATGTGTAGCCATCTCAAATGCTAACATATTTTATACAAATGAATCTTTAATGAACGAAATTAAACTTTTATAAATCTAAAGACTTGGAAGTGTCTAGTATGGATAAATATTCAATTCCATACAAGAAATCATTGACAGAATGTGGACGTATCTTACTTTTCCAAAAGGGCAGGTACCTCCGTAGAAGTGTTCCATCATTGTCAAACATTTCCCAACCTCACGAGAGCCTCTTTGAAGATGATGCAAATTTCATATTGATGATCATTTTCTGTAGAGCACGAGGGCTCAGTATTTGTGACGAGAGACAGACAAACACAGAACATGTAGATTGTATGTTATCATTACATTTCCGAGCTGAGCAAACCAAACCCGTCGTGATCGCCAATGAAGTGAGAAAGACCAGCTGGTATATTTCATGTTGATTTCAAAAGCTGAAATTGACGACACCAAACACTCGAAATGAACACGCTCGCAGTCTCCGTCACTAATTCACAATGCTTGCAAAATTTCGCACATTTCGGTGTGGTTCTAACAACTCCCGGCACCTATGTTACTCCAGCGCTTCGTTTTGTCAGCAAACACGTGGAAAAAAGTATTAATTCTTCCTCACGGGTTTTTTATTTTGATATAATTATGTCCCAATGGGACCAAGGATGTTTCGCGCTAAAGTGAAATGTTTACCAATCCCTCGTGTGAGTTTTGAAGGATCACAGGAGTATGAGCTTGTCAATTGCATTGAGGCGGCAAGGATCAAAGGGTTTGGGTTGCATACACAACTGATTTAGTCCATCCGTTTGTTTGTCGTGCATACACTAGGGTGATACAGGGTCTATTTGAATATTAGTTCTATGAAGACGAATATGCCTTAACACGTGTAATTGTTTGTTTTTGGTCCTCGTGATTGCTACAAGATGATCGTCGAGCTCGGGCAAATATTTTCACGGTCTTTTGAAGGAAATTTTTACAAGAGTGTAGTGATTTGACGAGAGGTTACGCTGGTGAAAACAATGATGTACATATCAGGATGCTTGTCAGTTTGTGAATGACAGATGTACATTGCGTGAAGTCGCTCCGTCGACACCCCGGGTACATGGCACAATGAGATATGAATAATACACCGGCGTGTCAATTAACTTCGTTACAGGGAGTCGCACGAGCAACGCCCTGAGTAGTATTTGTTAATTGATGGAATTCATCACGGTGTTATTTCTTAAAACTATGGAATTATAATACAGCGATCTGATTGATTTCAAACCAGCGTCTACTTTTTGGGAGGATGAGTAGATCTAAGATGAGGGGTTTCTAGCCAAACTTGAAAATTCGATGGGGGAACCATTTTTTGCTTGGATATCATAAACGCTTGCAAGTTTATGTTAAATATTATGAACATAAACGTTTCATCAATTTTAAAATGACTCTTTGATGCTTTTATCTGTATATGTGGTTTAACAATAGTTATAGCATTTCGTTCAAGATGCTATGATGACATTTTGAGTTAAACAGTGCACAGTCCCAACTACTACATTTCACAACCCAAATAGGGCCTCTTTTGAAATCTGACTCAGGTTCTTCTAAACATTTTCAAAGTAATAAAAAGGCGAGTTCTAACAACTGTTCGGGCGTTTAATTTCCTCCGTAGTTGTTGCGACAATTTCCTGAGATACATATTATTGTCTTCCTGGCGTGAAAGAGGCGAGACCCTTCAAACATGGCGCCGAGACTTCCGGAAATTGAGTTCTTGTTTTGGAATGTGGGTTCCAGGATTTCTTGAAGAACAGACAAACGTATGTTTGAATACTCGGCCCATACATAGTGAAATTAGTTGAAACTAGGGAAAAGGCCTTTCTAGTCTTTGGTCATATTTGCCTAGCCATCTCAGAGTGTTTTTGATCTAAATTTGGTAGAGAGGAAAACATGAGCGCTCTGCTGCTTCATATTCCTCGACTCATATGGTTGCGCTTATAGCTAGCATGACATCTAGATACAAAACATATGCACTATGAAAAATAATTTGTATCATTATTTAATTTATCTTCAGATTGAAGTCATGACATCCGATCTGACACTGGCAATCATTACGTACACCTCCACGTGTTATGCTCAGCGATTCTGTTTCCTATTCTGTCGATACCACCTCTTTTAGTTCTGTATTGAAGTGACGTTTGTGTAGTAATTCCAGGGTACATTTGAAGTATTTTGAAAGGAATATTTAAGTTAGGGTAATTCTTTAGTAAAAATGGAAGTATTGATTGCCGGAATCGAAAATTGAGAAATTCTCGGAGTAAATCTGAAGCATTGAAAGGAATGTTCGAATATGAGTAATTATTGAAGTGGATATGGGAGTACATTTGAAGTCTTTAAGGAATATTGAAGTTTGGGTAATTTTGGTGGTGAATTTGATGTAACATATTTCCTGGTTAAGAGAATTCCTTAGACACAACATTTATTCATTCTTGTATTTCTTATAGCCGTTATATTGATTTAAACGACGGAAACATGTAATTTAAACCAGTTCATTATGAAACCGTCTGTTTTCTAGATCTGGCCCTAAACTAGGTGTTTCTTATCTTGGATGTTAATGGGATCGGATGAGTTGGAATTTGACACCGAACCACGCTACATTAATATTTAACTGATTGATTCATTTTACCTATTTAACATCTGCGCTATTGCTAAAAGCGGCGTAAACCTAAACTCACTAATGAATATTGAATCTCCACAAACCTCAAGGGTTTAGTTTTTGATTGTCATGGTAGACATGTGTAAAAGTAATAACACGTGTGTACTGGATGGTGTTAGTCCCCAGTATAACACGTGTGTACTGGATGGTGTTAGTCCCCAGTATAACAGTGTTAGTCCCCAGTATAACACGTGTGTACTGGATGGTGTTAGTCCCCGGTATAACACGTGTGTACTGGATGGTGTTAGTCCCCAGTATAACACGTGTGTACTGGATGGTGTTAGTCCCCAGTATAACACGTGTGTACTGGATGGTGTTAGTCCCCAGTATAACAAGTGTGTACTGGATGGTGTTAGTCCCCAGTATAACACGTGTGTACTGGATGGTAGTTAGTCCCCATGGTGTTATAACACGTGTGTACTGGATGGTGTTAGTCCCCAGTATAACACGTGTGTACTGGATGGTGTTAGTCCCCAGTATAACACGTGTACTGGATGGTGTTAGTCCCCAGTATAACACGTGTGTACTGGATGGTGTTAGTCCCCAGTATAAACACGTGTACTGGATGGTGTTAGTCCCCAGTATAACACGTGTGTTAGTCCCCAGTATGGATGGTGTTAGTCCCCAGTATAACACGTGTGTACTGGATGGTGTTAGTCCCCAGTATAACACGTGTGTACTGGATGGTGTTAGTCCCCAGTATAACACGTGTGTACTGGATGGTGTTAGTCCCCAGTATAACACGTGTGTACTGGATGGTGTTAGTCCCCAGTATAACACGTGTGTACTGGATGGTGTTAGTCCCCAGTATAACAAGTGTGTACTGGATGGTGTTAGTCCCCAGTATAACACGTGTGTACTGGATGGTGTTAGTCCCCAGTATAACACGTGTGTACTGGATGGTGTTAGTCCCCAGTATAACATAACAAGTATGTGTACTGGATGGTGTTAGTCCCCAGTATAACAAGTGTGTACTGGATGGTGTTAGTCCCCAGTATAACACGTGTGGACTGGATGGTGTTAGTCCCCAGTATAACACGTGTGTACTGGATGGTGTTAGTCCCCAGTATAACAAGTGTGTACTGGATGGTGTTAGTCCCCAGTATAACACGTGTGTACTGGATGGTGTTAGTCCCCAGTATATAACTGGATGGTGTTAGTCCCCAGTGTACTGGATAGTGCTGTTAGTACTATTCCCAGTATAACACGTGTGTACTAGATGGTTGGTTGGTTTATTGTTTAACGCCGCACTCAGCAATATTCCAGCTATATGACGGCAGTCTGTAAATAATTGAGTCTGGACTAGACAATCCAGTGATTAACATCATGAGCATTGATCTACGTAGTTGGGATACGATGTCATGTGTCAACCAAGTCAGAGAGCCTGACCACCCGATCGCGTGTGTCGCCTGAAGCATGGGGTCCTTGCAAGGACCATTGTATTTTTTCGATGAAAAATTGACATGACTTCGCATGTGTTTGTGATGGGTAAAGCCGATAAGGTTTAACTCGCTTCCTTTTAACGAACAACTGGTATCATCACGATCTGACAGCGAATAAATGAACAAATTCTTATTATCAGGTCGGAATGTACAACATGATTTGTATGTACTAGATATGTCATATGATCTTGTCAAGGAATTTATCGCTTCTAGAATTTAGATATTTTGTGGTTGTTAGTGTCATGTGATAGGGCATCATTCTTTTATGTGTTTCACGAAGCAACTGTGATCTAAAGTTGGGTTGGTCGGTCGGTTTACAATAAAAGAAAATTAAAAAATTAAAATATATTGATGCGTTCATATCTACATCAGAAAAACGTGAGTTAGTGAGCTAAGATTTTAAGTAACATCGGCAATATTTGAGCCTAATAAGTGAAGTTAAATCATAAAAACCCGCCGACGAAGGACAGTAAACAACTAGAATATCACAGGAAATAACATAAAACTAGCATCTATATCTAAGATTTGATTATTATTTTGACCAGTACAATAATTATAAAATAACCAGGCTATAGATCGCCAGCAACTGAAGGTAGATCACCATACTAGGGACCATGGAGATTTAAAGTACTTTTGCTAACTGCATGGACAGAAAAGAAGACAAAACACGTGTAATTTTGATTCTGAATCATTTGGCCTGTTCAGGAGTGGCTATTGCAAATCTGTATATGGAACAGAACAAAAATACCTGTTTAGTTTTTTTCTTTTTATTATTATTTTATTTTGGTAAGGAAGTAAGAAATATATACAGCAACATCATTTGTTGTCAGATTTTGAGTCCATAACACAGATTGAACTGCCGGCAATAGCAACAGAGAATTACAATTTGTTTATTCTTTTATACATTATATTAATAAATGAAATATAAGAAAGAAGAATGTTAATACCTAGCACTTAGCTTTCTTTGTACTCACAAAAGAAGCAGTTGAACAAACAGTGGGTAAGGAATGAATTCAAGGAAATATAACAATGTTTTCTTTATTATGGGGTTGACGTCCAATGTACAGTCGGTCGGGCAATAAGAAACACAGGAATGGAAAATGTTGCCCATGTCTATAGTTCAGGATATGTGAGAGCCCCGGAAAAGCAAAAAGTGATTCTATGTGTACATCTAAATATTGAAGTACCCGTAAAATATCACAGTTTCTTGTGGTTATGGAAAGGAATTGTTGCTTATATTTACACGTTTTTTAGCTGAGATAAGGTAGAGTAACACTTTCATTTAAGTTTCAGATAAAAAAAAAGAAAAGTTATATACTAGGTTCTGTGTGAGTGAGTGAGTTAAAACTTAAAGTCACATTGGCAGTATTTCAGCCTTATCGTGCCTAAACAAGGTCTGAATACATAAACAAATTACAAAAACCTGTCGACAAAGGACAGCATAAAGAACCTAGAATATCACAGAACAAGAATTTAGAACTAGCATCTATCTCTAAAAGTGGATTTATATACAAAACAATATATAAACGGCCTAAGATTAACAACAACTAAAAGTAGATCCCCATACTAAGAACCATGGAGACTTACAGTACTTTAGCTACCTGCATGGACCTTAGCTGGATTTACAACATCCCTTCAGATGTTGGTGATTATTGTGAAATTTAGCCGAACGTTAAAATAACAAGTTTTGGGATAAAACGGACGAGGGCGCACCGTTGTAGAATTCCTAAAGAGAAACAATATGTACCACTGATCTTAATAAATTAATAATTTAATGGGTTGTTTCATTTGTTTTGAATAACTTACTCATAAACTACTTACCCCAGCAAAGAAATAATGACGATATCAGACACTGAGATGTGTTAAAAAGGAAAACAGACATTTATAACAAAGTGAACTACAGAAGTGCTACACAAGGGGGAAATTATGGATGTCAACTTTCGGATGTCAACGTATTGGAGTATATTCTTAATCCTTCGTCATTCACACAACTGACATCCATAAATTTCCCCGTTTCAAGCGAACTGCGGTCCTTGCATTTTGTTAGCTTTCACGTTCCAGAACACGTTAATAGTTGGCTGAACATTAGGTGAATCGAGATCGATATTACAGCCAATAATTAACCCCCACCTGTCAATCAAACAATTGACTGGCCAATCAAATGTTTCGAGATGTCACAGAATTCTCCTTTGTGTTCAACAATATTCAAACCACCAAAAGACTGTTCTTTAAAAAATTATTACAATACAGTTGCCAACTATACACACATCTACACATCGAAGCAACAAAGGAACTATATATTTTAATATCTAAAGAACGCTCCATGGAGACAATAAAGCCCAACATGGTCATTCATACATACATGTCTCTGGATATGCCTCACCTCATCATGTCATTAGAGAATTCACTATATATGTAGACACGTGAATAATTGAATGACCTAGACTCTTCTGATTATTTTGCGTGCGTGTGCTTACGCACGCATGTGAGTGCATGCATGCTTGGGTGTGGTGTAATTCCACTTTGGCAGAGCTTCCAACGCCAAGAAAGATAAACGCTTGAGATGCCCGGGTCCAATGGTTGCATGCCCCGGTCGGCTCCAGAGGGGAACCTGGTCGGGGTCCATAGGGGAACACGGTCGAGATTCAGGGGATCCAAGGCCCTTTAAAGCCAAAGCATAATTGCAAAATTCCCATCTCAGAAACGTCACTGAAAACGATGTATTCAGATCTACTTGTGTAATTTCTAACGGATTTTTTTTGTTTTTCACATGAACCCAGTTTAGCGTGAGATGTATCAGTTTTATTTTCGAGAGAGCGTGATATGAGTAATAAAACGTGAGTCTCAAGTCAAAGGCGTGAGAGTGGTAAGGTATGCTTTAGTGATCCGTGGACAGTGAGTTCGTTTCACGGTCTAAGGGACGTAACTCTTTTAGTTGACTTGAACAGCGACACCATCTAAAATTTAAAACCACGTTGTACGGAAACTATACGAGGATTGATTTAATAGAAGAATTATATTTGTATTTATATGATGAATGGTTCAGTACATTTTTATCACAACGAGAAGGAAAACACACATTCATTGTCTGACGAGTAATCAATATTCCAGTGGCATCCAATACGTAATCGATTGTTGATAAAACAAATGCTCCACAAAGTCAGGCAATAGAATCACGCAACGCTTCGCTGTATAAAACTGACACGGTCTAAGGGAAGTAACTCATGGGTTTCTAAATGACTGTTATAATTTGTAGAGTCCATTGGTGGAACATCAAGAACGCTAATTGGGCAATTCTTGGGCGTACCGTGGCGTTTTCTGGATCCCTGGTTTTATTATCTCCGATGTGTTCAGGCTTAATTATTATACATCAATTTTGCAGCAGCAATTCTACAAGCACTGAGATAGGTGGGTAAATATAACCACGAAACACTCATTTTACCGATCCAATGTCAGACATTACGGCTATTGAATCTGGAGTTACTGATAGTGTTTACGACATTTTAAAACTGGACACAATTATGAATACTAAATATATCTCATGTGATAGTGTATTGGTTTCAGCTATTGCTAAAGGATGGGATTCACAATGTTGAATTCAGGCCTTGCCAAAGAGATTTTGAATATGCCATTGTGAAGTCTGTCTCCATAACATAGCAAAGATGTTGGATCTACTGCAAACATGTGTAACATTCGCCGTCGGAAGAGACATGATGAAATTGGTTTAGCTCGACTTTGTCATAGTTACCGTGCACTATAGTCTGTTTGCAGTGAAAACGTACCGATGAATGTCAATTTAAACAAAAAAGTAAATCGAATAAGATGAAATTAAGATTGCGAATCCTCATAATTTTACCTTGCCAACTGACCATTTAAATCTCAGAATTTTATTCAACTTAGGATAAAAGTTGTTGAACAAACGATCATAGTTTCAAATCGTTATTATTGGTTTGTGTTACAAGGGTGTATGCACATTAAATGAAACACCGAGAAAAAATTGAGTTGGACTAAGTTAACGCTCATCACGAACCGCACGTGCATTTGTTTCACTGTTCCATCTACTGCGCTCAACCCCTTGTAATACAAACCAACAACAGCGATTTCAATGTATGATCGTTTGTTAAACAACCTTTGTCCTACAATGAATAACATTCTGAGATTTAAATGTTCAGTTGGCAAGGCAAATTTATGAGGGTTCGCAGTCTAAATTTCACTTTATTTCATTTACTTTATTGTTTAAAGTGAAATTCATCGGTACGTTTTCACTGCAAACAGACTATAAATGCCTACACAAGAGTTGTTGATCAGGAAGTATCTCCTCTCTGTGATCAATACAGTGATAAGTCGCCTGAAACAGTTCAGCATTATCTGTTGGAGTGTCCCCGTTATGTGACAATCTTACAAGTGCCGTGCTCGAGAAAAGCGGTACATTCTCCATTGCTGCAATACTGGGCCCCAACATCCTATACGGTTCAGAATAAACTGTTATACTTGAGTATGTGTCGTGACTGCATCAGGCAAATATGAGACAATTTTAGCATGTCATTTAATTTGGTTTGGTTTGTTGGGGTTTTTTGTATAACGCCGCACTCAGCAGTAATCCAGCTGTATGGAAGCAGTCTGTAAATAATCGACTCTGGACCAGACAATCCAGTGATCAACCCAATGAACACCGATTTAGGCAATCGGGTTACGATGATATGTCAACCAAGTCAGCGAGCCTTACCACCCAATCCGTTAGTCGCCTCTTACGACAAGCATGGGGTACTGAAGACCAATTCTAACCCGGATCTTCACCCGGATTCGGTCTCTGCTAAATGTGGCCATTGCTATTTGGAGACGCCTTGAAAATGTCGAACACTGTCTAATCTGTCTAATACCATAAGACGAAATCTCAGAAGTGTTGTGCTTGAAGTTGATGATACATTTTCTTAAGTTATTGTTTTGGGCCCAAACATCATGAATGGCTCCGTGAAGGTTTAGATTTTGCATCGTCATCTGGAAAACATAACTTGTGATTCTTATAAGTCAATGTGTTGGGTGCAAATCGGTCCGTTATTGGCCCAACGTCCTAACATTGTCACACCAACACCACCATTGACTTTTAAAGCTTCCCGCAGCATGATAACGTGTTAAAGGCGATGACAAGGCGATGACATCACTGCAGCAGGCTAAGTTTGCATATCCACAACGTTACTAAATTAAGATCTTAGTTCTCGTTAGTGGTCAACAGATTTAGAAGAATGTGGACTATTTTTATGGATATACAACTTCTTTATACTATATAGGCGAAGTTCCGACAGATTCTATTGTCGTTGTCGAGCAATTGGTACACTTCCTGTATATCCATAAAATAGTCCTCATTCTTCATCTCCCCAACTTCTAAAATGCCAATCAAAGAAGAACAGATTTGTTTGGGGTAACACAAACTAAGATTTGATGTTGATCAGACTTCATATCAGGTAATCCATGAGCAGACACATCTCATGTGTGTAAACAAATGCGCTTATTCTAGATCTGAAATCAGAACAGACTGGCCTAATACAAGCGTTTCTGTACTTTTAACATTATTATTATCATTTTGCAAACCGGCAAAACCCCTACGAATGCGATCATTCAAAGCACGTGCATGCACGTCACCTTATTAGGGTATGAATCTTGTTTTAGTCTGTATTAAAAACAGAATACACTCAATACAGTACACAAAGAAATAGAAGTAAAGCTTCATTTCCTCAAAAGCAAAGTATGTGGTATGGTTCCTACTACACACAAAGAACTTAATAAAGCACCCCCTGTATTTTTGCAATGGTAGGTTTTCAACACGTACATAAAACTTCTCGAGGTGACCATGAGTTTTTCTGACCCGTATGATCTTTTGACTCATAAAAAACGACAGAATAATTGGCATCCATGTTGATTTTATTATGATAATTGCTCATTTAAAAACAAAACAAAACACACACTGATTTTCACACAAAACCATGTCTGTGCAAGTATGGCCCTGGAATGTTTAATGTTGAATTTATTGGTAGATGTGAACATTCAAATGTCAATTTGTTTGTCTTAAATGATTCAAGGTCAATACCGAGAGTAACCTCTATGTGACTGTATAACAGCCAACACTCTCCTCCTCATACCCCCTGTCAGCCTCCTGCTCCTCCGAAGGGCCAGTCTACGCCATTCTTCGTGTAAAGCAGCTTCCAATTGGGCCGGCCTGTGTACAGGAGGATCCCTTTGTCGCAATCATGTCCCAGACATGCTCAAAAGGGTTACGATCGGGGCTCATTCAATAGTGAGGTATGTCAAGTTCTTTGTGTATATAACAAATGAATGTCCGCGATAAAGTCGGAATCGTAAAAACTTGTAAATATCCTCCTCATGTCTAACATAAAACGTTTGAAAGCTTTACTGTGGCCTCAATGTTACTTCAAGGAAAGGCTGAACCCAATGGAGCTATTGCTTGACAAAATAAAAGTTTACCATTTCCACAATCGTAAGAATATCTCGTTGTACAGTTCCAGCTATCTCAATGAAAAGATCCGACCTTTAAACTTCCAAAGATGAAATTTGTAATATCAGTTTGTATCGATGATCTCTACATCTTACAAAATTAACGTTGATCAACAACCTATTGATATTCGAATCCAAATCAAGCAAGCGCTGAAATGTTGAAAATCTAATTCTCTATCATAATTTTTACAACGTTTCTGATATTTTTGTGAAGGCTTTGCTAATTTTGTAAATTATTCATCTCGTTTGGACCAACATGAGTGAGTGAGTTATTATTTAACGTCACATCGGCAATATTTCAGCCATATCGTGACGAGAACATATGTGACATTGAAATGGAATAGATGTATATTAAAAAACCTGTCGACGAAGGACAGTAAAACAACTAGAATATCACAATTACAGCTAAAACTAGTGTGGAAAATTAAAACTAATAGCACTATTTGGACAATACAACATAAAAACTGGCTATAGATCGCCAACAACTGAAGGTAGATCACCAAACTAGGGACTGGGCCAACATGAGATCTAATACCTTTTTCAATCAAACGTTCGAACACGATCGTTAAACTGGGCTCGCTATTGCATATCATCGCATGTGACAAATTTCTGCACATCGAGTTGCGACGTCGGTCGGACCCCTTGACACCCAGCGCCCTCTATGTTTAATTAAAGCATGTGAATTCATGAGCACATATTGTAAAGCGTTGTTTTCCGTGAACATAAATATATAAAAGGTAAAGTTTTCAAAATATTGGCGAGACGGACAGAGAGACCTCAGTCAAGAATGTTGCCAATGTGATATTTTACGGTGACTTCAGACCGCAGATCGTTGAATTAACTATTTATTTAACCTTTCACATAAAACCATAAAGTGAAAGATATGAAAGTACGTCTGATATATACTTTGACACGATTCTCCTTTCTAAATATTTTAGAGACAATTAAACATCAACAAGATCTTAAAATGTTTAATGTTAGTACAAACCGGTATAATAGTGGACTCTGGGTACATTTGACATGTAAGAAACCATATCTAGGCGTCCACACCTCATTGTAACCAAAACTCTTATGGTTATTCTATAAAGAGTAGACTTTTGTAAGTGTTAACCTGGAAGAAAAGCTCACAAAAATTAAAACAATTAACCCATTAGATTCCAAAATACAAAACAACGGTGAAAAGCACATGAATGGACCGGCCAAAAGCAGTGATGACAGAATGAGTGAGTGAGTGAGTGAGTTAATATTTAACGTCACATCGGTAATATCTCAGCCATATCGTGACGAAAACAATTTATACAATAAAAAATGAAAACATTTTGGAGAGTAAAACCTGTCGACGATGGACAGTAAAAATACTAGAATATCACATATATGAACATAAACTAGCATGTCAAACTAAAAGATTTTAATTAAAGAAGACAATACGATATAAAACACGGGCTATAGATCACAGGCCCTCGTCTCTTTGCGAGGATTAAAGATGTTAAAAAAATATTGTTTTTGAGATGACCCCCGACTCGAAATGCTTCACAGTATAATACATTATGACAAGGCCGGACACTTCGGTGCACCCTGCCCGCCTGCTTTGCCGATCGCTACGCTACCATCGCATGCAATCGATTGAAACCTGATTTTGACTCTCAACTAAACAATCTTGACACAAATGGTTGACGATATATCCGCAAAAAACGGGGATGTGGTCGAAGCAAGCCCTCTGATTGGTTGGTGTTTGTTAAGGAGACATTTACAATTGATGCTTTCTTTTGAGAAGCCATTGCTAGAAAAAATCTTACATAAACCCAAAAGTACTAGAATCTGTAGTTTACTAAGAAAGTGTTATCCCAAATATAACATATGTTACAAGCCCTTTGGTTGGTTGATCCTTGTTTAGGAGACATTTACAACTGATGCTTTTTTGAGAAGCCATTGCTCGAAAAATATTCTTACATTAAGCAGTCGATGAAAGAAAAAAATCCCGCGAATTTATTACGAATTGCAGATTTGTAAGCGTTGACCAATCAGAGGGCTTGCTTTGACCACACCCCCGTTTTGTGCGGACATATCGTCATCCATTTGTGTCAAGATCGTTTAGTTAACAGTCAAAATCGGGTTTCAATCGACTTACAGAAATAACAATAAAGAATTGGTAGGTTTCGTGATTGGTGCTCGATAGGTCAATCATCCATGATTATGTTCACATTAAGTTCTAATCGATTACATGCGATGGTAGCAGAACGATCGGCAAAGCAAGCGGGTGGGGTGTACCGAAGTGTCCGGCCTTGTCATAATGTATTGTACTGTGTAGCATTTCGAGTCGGGGGTCATCTAAAAAAAATAATCTTTTTAATCGTTAATCTTCGCAAAGACACGAGAGCCTGTGAATACCAAGTCATCCTTCATGCCGTTTGTGAGCCAACATCTGTGAAATGGAGACTTTAACTTGCACATCTCGTCGACAAAATGCCCGTCCCATGTGTCACAGGCTGAAATCTGTTTGTCACTAACACTGCACCATACTTTCCAGCACTCTCACTGATGTTGGTGTAAACAGCCCACCTTACTTGTGGTCTGACTGGAACATCCTGGGCTTTGGCACATGCAATCCCTGCAAATGTTGCAGAGGCAGGTCACATGACTGCTCTCTATAAAAACTACATGTGCCAGAGGCCAGGCACACACGATGTCAGGCAACAACTATACAATGTTGTGATCCACAGGTATGTTGTGAATTTGGAATGATTGTTTTAATTAATTATGCAAAAGGTATTTATTTCTCAGGTATGAAGTATATTCAACATGATATTAAACAATGTTATGGGGAAATTGCCAGTGATAAAATTAATTGTTTAAAACACAATTAATTCCATAGAATATATTTTGAGTATTTAATAATTGATTAACATTTATATTGTCTGTGTACACACCATGTCAGGCAACAACTATACAATGTTGTTGGGATCCACAGGTTTCATTCACCCAATAAAATACATCCGCCAGAATGGACTTTGTAGTTCCTGCGACACATGGGAATGGCACGACACATGAAATTGAGTTTATCTACAAGAGACTGGAGTTCCCGTTTGGTTACCTTCTTAAAATCCGCACTGCCACCTTCTGATCTGCGTGGTCGTCTCAACAATTTTGTCTTGTGGGATTCGAACGTGCCTGGCAACTGTGTCTAGCTCCAGGCCCAGGAAAGTAATTTTTGACAGACAGAGTTTATTTCCAGTAAAAGGCCGTAGGCCCAAAATACATTCAAAAAATTTCCAGTGTAGTCAGGGGCACAATGATCATTCTAGTGTTTGTAATAATCCTTTTAACAAGGCAACGGATTTTACAGTGTCTACATAAGTATTCTTGAAAAGATTTGCTAAAGAATACATGTATACAGTATAGGGCTTTTCAACACATTTTGTAATAAACCTCTCAGTTGTGAATAGGATTCACAAATGAACAGTACATGAAATTCATCTTCAATATAGGGAAGACCTTTAGATTTACATGATGTACAAAATCTTTGATCATAATCAGTACTATAACGCCCAGTTTCTACAGCTATTTTAAAATTACTACACCTAAATTGTGCTAAAACAGCTCTTAAATGTGTAGAAAGGTTAAACGATAAATAACATTCAACATTTAACGCAGATTTAAAATATTGATAATAGTTGCATTTGGAGGAATTACTCCGGGAAGAGTACCAGGACTGTTTTAAATTATCTGATAATCTTTGTTTAAATAAGCTTATAAACATCTTTACATCACCAACATCTTGGCTCAACCAAACAAATCCAAAACCAAAATTAAAAAGACTTACCTTTTGATGCCCATGTTCTACCACTATCATCTATGATTACACGGGTCATATAATTAAACTGCAGGGGCAATCTGCCACATTCACCCAGGGCCATGGAATTACAAGATGACCTATTTATTTTAAGATACTTTTTACAAAAATCAAGCTGTACCGATTCAATACTTTACAATAAGAAGTTCCCCATATTTCTGAGCCATAGCATAATATTGCTGTGATTTTTGTTGCAGGTTGAACAGTTTGTGCCACTGGGACATTGAAGTGATTCAGTACATGCATACAAGATTGTAAATTATAATCAGTCATTGGTGCCGGCAACGCCCCCTGTGAGGAAGTCATCCAGGTAATGCATTAACTGCTTTTTTGGGCGATTGCGGAGAATGCACCATTGCAAAAACGTGCTGAATCTTTCGAAAATAGCGCATGAAATAGGGCATCCGCATGGTAAACATTTCTCAAAATAGTACTTGCCGTTAAACTGAATGCCGAGCAACTGGAAGTCATGGGGATGGACTGGTATGATGCGGAACGATGATTTGATGTTAAACTTTTCAAGGAGGGCGCCCGCTCCCAACCGTTTTACAATCTCCACAGCTTCGTCAAAGCGTGAATATGAAACAGAACAGTCTTGTTGGTTAATGTTAATGTTATTATTAATAGTCACCCTGCGGATATAATAAATCGTGAATCAAACGAAAATTATCAGAGCTTACAGAAGGACCCACCGTCTATTTTCTTCAGAACGAGTCAGATTGGTGATATTTGTAATGCTTGAAGCGGTGGATCATCAAAGGGACCAGCCATTCTACCTCGGGTGACCTCTTTGTTCAGCTTTTCAACAACCTCCGCACCCACAGCGCTGTCGCTGATGACAGATATTTGACATTCTGAAGACGCAGGTACCCTGAAACTTAAGCTTAAAACAGTACAGAAAGCCATCATACAATGAGTGTGCATCCGAAGGGTTAACCAGTGAATACCAGTCACCCTGATAGCAATGTTCGTTGGGCCAACATTGGCCAACGTAGGCCCAATGATGGCCAATGTTGGTCCAACATTGGCCCAACAAACATTGCTATCTGGGGAAGAGACTCCAACATGTTACTTACGCTGACCGGAGTTGGTGCTCGAGACATTTCGTCTATACTGTTGGTGTGTATTTGCACCGGTGACAGCTGACGTTCCGACGCACGCGTGGGGACGAAAACAGCTCTGGATGTTGTGACCAGAATCTCCAGTTCCCGCACTTGTGTGGGTATTTACAGGATTGACGTTGACGATTCCCCTTGTTGAAGTCCCAACAAATATTGAATGGTAAATCGCAATGATTATTTTTTGAGACACTTACCCCAGTATTGGTACGTGGCTTGATCTGTTGGGGTGTCAGCATGTGCTTCAACCAGGTCACCGTCGACACGTCCCCACTGACGAGTGGGATCCCTTGCCATTCTGTGACGGAATTGTTGATCATACACCCTCCATCCATCTCCAGCGCCAGGCAGCATTCCCTGTAACACACTAGGTGAAAAATGTTTTGACATGTAAATCGACATAAAGATATGGAATGCCGATTTCAATGCACCAACAGTGATTGGCTTACCCTGCGATTGCTGGCGGGTGACGAGAGAGACACTACCATCTCTATCAGCGATCAGTTCCATTTTCGCTTGGTTATCGATACCCGAATTCACATGAAGCAAGGTTGAAAGATCAACGTACTCACCGTTGTAGATTTTGTCAAGGGTGTCTTGCTTCACGTGAGCACCGATTTCCTGAGCTTCAAACGTTAATGGCGCAGGGGCGGAAGAGGGGACTGAAATGTCAGACACGACGGGGAAGGAGACAACAGGGTTCTGAAGATTACCTTGGTTTGCTTCAAGCTGTCCCGAAATACTGGGAATTGCACTTGGCGCCGGGGATGTGAAATCGGAAATTTTAACCAATGCAGATGGGAGCGATGGATTAAGATAATTATTGCAAGTGTCAATCACTAAATGTAATTATTTTACATTTTCAAGAATATTATTTTATCACAACTCAGCACTTGTCTTGGCAGAATATCTGAAGAAAAACAATGAAATTATTAAACATATCTTGACACAATATTTTCTGCAATATTGGTTGTACATGAAAATGTTTTTAACAAAGTGACAGTTCATTGAATGTGCAATATATTTATTGAGACAAATGTTATAAACAGACTGGTGGTTTTATGTGAATGTAATTTATTTCATAATGAGCAGTTCAGGTATTTTTACAGATGATGTTAACAAACCTTGTTTCCAATCGCTCCGTCTCCTCTTGGGAACTGAAAAAGAATGGTATGATCATTATGAAGGAAATTTATTGTGAAAAATGATAACTAGATACTTATATCACATACACATTGTGTATATTAAATGGCAAACTGTTAGCATATGATTTTAAAAGTCAGATGAGTTTCATAGGAACCTAATATATATCTCTTACCTATTTATCCCTTTACAAATTAACTATTTCTATCCTAATCATGGTAATTGCGGTGTTATTCTTGCATTAAATACCAATACAGATATAGATCTTATACTCACATGGACAATACAGATTCTCCTCTCACATGACATTTGATTGTTCGAGTCAGCAGAGTCTGGCTTGGAAAGCCTTTGTGATGATGTCCTTGTGGCAATGGTAAACAGTTCCGTTGATCACTATCATTGGTCCCTCGCTGTAATGAGATAATATATACATTATATACAGAATTCAATTTCAGGTGATTTCGCTTATTACGCACAGGTTACTTCAACGCCAATAGTAGATGATGATTATAATTGTGTACGAATGTGTATAGTGACTCCCAAAGTTTAAAGAATTTCGTCATGTTCAGCACATTTCAATATATTTGAGAGCTACATGGACATGTTTATGTCATACTACTTTATAGGGGGGGGGGGTGGCAGATAAAAAATTAATACATGGTAAACTTAAGCCCAATTATGCTATACCACCTTACTATATACATCTCCCACCCCACCCTGTCACCCCACCCCCAACCTTATTTACTATCTACTCAGTTCTAACTCTTATTCACAAACTGCTTTGTTTTTTCGCTTTCCCTTTATAATTTCGGCTTTTTACTTATTTTCCATTATGTTGTAAACGTTTTATTAAAAACTCAGGTAAGTTTACAGCCCCTGCATTTCTTTTTTTGGGGTACGGTGGTTTATCCCCTATTATTCCACTATATTATTTATCTAAAACCCCACCTACCCCGTCGTTAAACCTCAAATTCATTTATCCACTCTTCACCCACCAAACCAAGCCAACTTGCCCTCTCCGCTCCTACCCCCACCCCTACCTCAAGCTTAAACCCTTTGTTTATTTTATAGGCCTCCATATTACTACTACAATACAGCATAACTGTATTATCTACATATAAGCCCACCTATGCTTTACTTAATTCATATAACCACCCCACCCCACCCCCCTTTTACATTATCCTATCATTTAGTTATCACTTTCTCTCATTAATTAACAAACAACCTAGTTTTTTTCCTCCCTTTCCTTTTATAAGCTCGGCTTTTTATTTTTCATTTCATGTTTTAAACGTTTTTATTCCAAATTTATATAGGTTAAAGCCCCTACATTTACATTTTTTTGGGTACGGTGGTTTATCCCCTATTACTAACTATTACTAATTTAACTTAAAAGCCACCTACCCCGTCGGCGAAATTGGCGCCCGCCAGAAGCCGACGTTAAACCCTCCAACTCATCGTGTCGGTACCTGTCATCTGCCACTACCAGGACTGTTGAATTCCCTACAGCTTTTGTACCATGGCATCGACATCAACAAGAACGGATCTTCCTAAGGTTTGTCATTTTTCAAATTATTTCAAAATTGAACTGCTATTGTGTGATGCATTATTGAAGAATACGTGTGGGATTTTTTATACAAATTGTAAGCATTGTCTACTTAGTAATTAGGTTTGCATAAACATTGCATGTCAATAATACAATTTACAAACACAGTAATTAATGTTTTGTTTTTAATTGTTATAGAAACTATCAACGCAGAATATAGCCTTCTTTCACTTCTCCGAAGTAATCGAAATGAAAAGCAAATGTGGCTTGTACAAGGGAACAGAAGTGATTTTGAAATCAAAACCAAACACCTTGACGGCGGTCAGAATGAGAATGGACGTTGGAGAAATCAAGCCAGGATTCCACATGGCCACATATGCAGTTATCAAAGATGATGGAGTTGTCAAACTTCAAAACCACTCGAAGGTAAATAATAGACTTTTCTTGGGGTACGAATGGGGAAGCGAATATATACTGAAAGCCATTAAAAACGCAATTGGTATTTGTTGTCCTGAAACTTACAAAAGTTCTATTGAAGATTTTTTCCTGCGATACAGAGGATGTAGGGATAAAAGGCTGTTATTCTGCCCCATTTCGAGTTCGAGTCCCGGAGCATTCCTCTCGCATGAACTTTCATACTTAAAACTGAACCTTTGACATTTCTCGAAAACACAACCACATTCATGAAACACGTTGTGCACATGCATTACCTGCACCCAGGCCCTGTAAAAGCACAAGGAATTGTGGAACTCAATCACTTTGAGAAAATGCCACACTTGACTAAAGACGAAAGGAATCAGGTTATCGGTATGGTCAGCCAAGGTGCTTCAGATGTGATGATTGCCAGGCACTTTAATGTGCATCCATCCACTGTAAGTCAACTCAGACAACGTTTTCGGGCTACCGGAAGTGTTGCTGATCGTCCGCGACCTGGTGCACCACCTGTGATAACAGCTCGACAAAAAACCGCAATATCCGAGTTTCACACTTGCGAAATCGGTCCCAAACAGCTGATGATTAGGCAAGGAGGACAATTGGGACAAGTCAACGTCATTTCAGCGCCCACAAGGTGCAAGGACGCCTTGCTGCCTTAAAAACATCCGGTGTCGTCACCCGTACCGTGGTCCAACCTTATTGCATCGCCACAGACTTGCCAGACAGCGATGGGCAGCAAATGGGGCCAATCTTGGCAACAGGACATGGCCAGATGTCATTTTTTCAGATGAATCCAGGTTTAACTTATCCTTTGCAGATGGACGTTAACAGATTTATCGACGTAAAGGTGAAAGACTTGCGCCAAACTGTGTCATTGAACATGATCGTTTTGGAGGGGGTGGTGTCATGATCAGACCACACACAATCAGTGGCTGCAGACCATCCAACAGCTGTTCCCGAGAAATGGGTGTCTTGCAATGCCCCAAAGACTGCGAGCATGTCTTGCAGCGCACGGTGGACACACACGATATTGACTGCAAGTGACCCCTCCTTTGTGTGATGTCGTTGTTGCGTCACTGATGTTGTTGTTGACTGGACATTTTCAGATGAAATTATTCAGATGTTCACTTAAAACATATCTGCCAGTTAGGTTTATATATGTTGAAATTAGTGTGAGTAAAGAAAGTATGAATGTCAAATTGCATTTTTAATGGCTTTCGGTATACAATACTTGTAAATGTTAAATGATTCTTAGAATAAATATTAAATTTTAAAAAACCCCGTTAAATTCACTTCTTGATGTGATGTTATTTCAGTTGCAATTTTGTTCTGAATTCTTCATCATATTTCACCAACAAACCGCGCAAACAACTTTTTCTGCATAATGAATACATGTACATTGAATAATCCCACCATTTAAACTGCCATACTCATTTCCATCATATCGTATATGCAGTCCACAATACTTATTTTTACTATAAATAAATTTCATTTCGGTATGTAATATACTCATGTTTGATGATTTCTCTATATTTGCTTAATTACAGGTTCTGTCATGCAGACCATTTGCATACGACGGAGTAGTTAAGGCATTTCTAAACCCTCAGGTGAAAACCGCCAAAGAAGCGCTGGCAACGCCATTAGGAGTTAAAATCACCGTCCTTGGAACAAGTTAGTATCATTACGTAATCACATAATTCTAATCAATTCGACGTTAATTGATAAGTCTGTCTCAAAACAGTACTAGATTTAACATTAAAAACTAAACAAAACAAGAAAAATATTTTCTTTTACAAAATATAACTTCAAAATATCAGTTCACCTTTCGTGTCATTTAACTGGTGAATGCGTTTCTGTCAAGGTGTCGGAAGCATTTGAAGCTGAACTTACAGAGGAAAATGAGAAAATTGCCGTTAAACTCTGGGGCAAGAAATCCTCTTTAGATGCCCCAATGAATGCGATGATAAAAGTTTAACATATTTGTGCAAGGGAGTACAAATTCAAAAAGGATCTCGAGTCCACACATTTGACGACGGTTGAGGTGAGCAACAGATGATTTTTAAACACCCTAGTAAATGGCATCTATGAAAACTCATTACTTAGAAAACAATTTACTTAATTTGTACCATCTGCCTCATTCAGGAACTATCTTAAAAGCTGTATTGTAATATATGCTTCAAGTATGAATTTAACACTTTGAGTGAGTTAAAATTTAACGTCACACCGGCATTATTTCAGCCATATAGTGACGAGAGATGTTTTACATAAACAATAAATTTAAGTTACTAAAAATCAGTCATCGAAGGACTGTAAAATAACTAGATTATCACAATTACAACTAAAACTAGTGTGGATTAACACTTTGAAAACACGAAACAATTGTTGAAATAACATTCATTTCTAGACTCATCATATTCTCTTGTAGGTAGTCGAACAAGAAGAGACCGTTGAAGGAGAGGTGGATGAGATTGGATTTGACGAGCAAGTAAATGAATAATTCTTCTTCATAGAGATCGTCCTTGGGGTACATATTATGCATTTTCCACGCTGAAAATGTCCTGTGACAGTTGTATCAATGTTTTTTTGAATAAAAAGATTGTACAGTAAATAAACATTTTTATTTATTATACGGCCCCCCACCTCGTGGAGTTACCTCCCGTTGCGCATGCGCACCAACTGGGTAACCACCTAGGCCCGTATCATCATTCCTTCTGCTGTCACTCACATGTGTAAGACGTGTTAGATGTGTAGAGCAGCGCTGTACTCTCCAAGAGAACTTGAAAGAGATATGTCTGAGACACCACCTGTATGTATGGTCTTTATTTTCTGTCCTTGAAAGGAACAGTAAAGCTTCGCGGTCGGTTGTTTCATAATTGTGACTTTGTATTAATTATTTTACGCTCACTTTCCTGTGGTTTACGCACATGTTGCTCTGCCATGGCGGGAAGTTTAGCGTGCCACGTGGTTGTAATATTGCGTATTGAATCAATTATTGCTTCCCGTGGTAGCCTTCACGTATTTTTCAATGTTTTCTACGTGTATGTTTGCTGCTGGTCCGCTGTTAGCTACATGCTTGCGTGTTTGCTTTCAGGCGTTTTCCTCCTGTTCGGTCTGTGGGCAAAGCATCCCCAGGGCCGACCGCCACGATAAATGCATCATGTCTCAGAAACCTGTGAGATTTGCATGGGCTTTTCCCCCCGGGCCCAGAAGAGAAGGGCGGCGGATTTTCTCTTTTACAGAGAAATGCGTGAGGCGGGTGGGGAACTGACCCAGGTCCCCCCGTCCAAAGCGAAAAAACCTCGCAGTAAGGGCCGAAAGTCGCGTAGCCAGTCGCCTTCTCCTGCTCCTAGTAGCGGTTTTGATATGTCGTTAATAACTCAGTTGTTCCAGCAGCACGTGGACTCGATGAAGTCCCTCGTTCATGAGTCGGTTGGAGGGCTCCGGCAGGAGTTCCTCGCCCACTCTGCACGGGGGGGCGGAGAATCTGGGGGTGGGATCGCCGAGCCCGGCTCGATCCCTTGGCCTTGAGGCGTCTGTAGATCCGTTGCCTCTGGCTTCGGATCCGGACGCCTCGGCTGCCCCGGAGGGGGAGGGTTCGCTCCCAGTCCCCCTTTCGGAGTTCGCACAGTTCTGCCTGGTCTGCCTCCAGCGTCTCGGGACCAGGGTCTGTGCGAGTTGGCAGGTGCTGACGCGGGGCGCTCTGTCTGCTCCTCCCTCTCTTCTGTGCCTGGTGCTAGGCCGCCCACCGGGTCGGGGTTCGGGTCCTCTTCGCGAGGAGACCCAGCCTCGGGCTCGGGCTCGGGCGCCGAGTCCATGGATACTGGGAAGGTTGAGGAGCAGGAGGGTGCCTTCCGTTTTTTCGTCCGTTTTGCGGGAGATCCGGCAACGCATTGCCGAGTTCCTAACCCAGGCCGCGGTGCCTGCCAGCCGCTCGGACTCGGCTGAGTTCCGCCTGCCAGGCGAGGCGTTTGCCCCTCGGCAGCCTACGCAGACGCTGCTCCGTATTCTTCCGTCGTTGGTCCAGGACGTGGTCGATCCCCTCCTGTCTGGGTCTCGCCTCCGTTTCGACTTGCCTGAGCTTGTCCGATGGTGGATGAGTGCGTGTTTACTTCGGTCACCTTGGGGGGAGGCTCAGCTTCCGGAGCAGCTCCGGCTGCTCGGCAAGGGCGGTGAACACCACCGTTTGCCCTCGCGGGCGCCCCCCTGCAGCATGCAGACCTACGAGGAGGTCTACTGGAACGCTATGCAGCAGGTGCGGGTCGTGGTCCATGAGGCCTACCTCTCCTCGATCCAGAGGTCGGCCCTGGAGGCGGAGGGGCATGCTGGAGACGTTTCTCCGCATGTCGTGCTACTCCGTCAGTTATCCGAAGTTCAGGCACACCTCGCGCGCGACTCCTTGCGGTCAGCTGCGTCGACGGTGATGTGCGCAGTCATGGGGATGCGCAAGCTGTGGCTGTCGACGTCTCGGTACTCGGCAGCTACACAGCAGACCTTGCTGGCCCTTCCCTACCGTCTGGGAGCGACGCTGTTTCCTGGGGCCCAGCAGGTCATACGGGAGGCTGCCGCTGCAGCTACCTCCTTCAAGGACTCTAAGGCCTTGTTGGAGCACCCGCGGGCTTCTCGCCCCCGCGCTCCCGTTCCACCTTCCTCCGCCGGGGTGCAGCCTACACCCGAGTCCGCTGGCTGGCTTCGGACCCTTGGCAGGGGTAGGCGGAGGAACCGGTCCGCCAAGGGTAAGGGCAAAGAGCAGTCCTCTTCGACTAGCTCCCAGCCTTTTCGCGGGCGCGGGAGGTCTGCCCCGACCTCCCGTTAACCCATCAGGCTGTAGACCCAGCCGTGTGTCATTCCCAGTCAGCTCCGCTACTCGGGACCACGCACGCGCTCTTACCCAACGTCCCAGTGGGAGGCCGCCTCTCTCTATTCCTGCCGGAGTGGGAGAAGGCTACAAACAACACTTGGGTGCTGTCCACCGTCAGTGTCGGCCATTTACCACTGTGGAAGCGAGGTCCGCCCAACTTCACCGGCATACGCCGCACTCCGGTGCCGTCATGTCAGGCAAGGGCGGACATATTGCGCGACGAAGTCCAGGCTTTGCTGGACAAGTCCGCAATCGAGCGCCATACCACCGGGAGAGGAACAGGCGGGATTTTACTCCACGTACTTCCTCGTCCCGAAGAAAGACGGCGGGTTCCGTCCCATTCTCAACCTCAAGGGGTTGAATCGCTTGCTCAAAGTAACATCCTTCAAGATGGAGACACTGCGCTCGGTGATCTCCTCTGTTCAGCCCGGCGATTGGCTCACGTCAATCGACCTCAAGGATGCGTATCTGCATGTGCCCATACATCCATCGTTCAAGTAGTACCTTCGGTTCTCTTACGACGGGATGTGTTACCAATTCACGGTGCTCCCCTTCGGCATATCCACTGCCCCAAGGGTGTTCACCAAGCTCATGTTAGTCCCAGCTACCCTCGCTCGCTCGCAAGGAAGGCGTTGTTACCCTTACCTCGACGACTGGTTGCTCGGTGCACTGACACAGCCAGCGAGCCTAGATTCTACTCACACGGTGATAGACATTCTAGTTCGACTGGGGTGGATAATCAACCTCAAGAAATCCGACCTGGTACCCACACAGGACTTGGTTTTTCTCGGGGTGAGGTTCCAAACACACAAGGATCTCGTTTCCTTATCGCCTGACCGGGTCACCAGAGTTCGGGAGATGGTGTCTTCGTTCCTCTCCCAGCCCCAGGCACCAGCGCGGACTTGGCTCCGTCTACTGGGTCATATGGCGGCGACGATCTCTGTAGTGTGGCGGGCGCGGTTGAGGATGCGCCCTATACAGCAAGCTTTGGCGAGTCTGTGGGCTCACTCGGAGGACCTGGAGCGGAGTCTCACAGTCCCCGGGTGGTTGACACCTCACCTTCAGTGGTGGACCAATGTCGGGAATCTCACCAGGGGGATCCCCTTGGAAATCCCGACGCCAGCTCTTACAGTTGAGACCGATGCGTCCCTCACGGACTGGGGGGGTGTTCTGGGCAGTCTGTCGGTGTCCGGACTCTGGTCCGAAGCCGAAGCCCACCTTCACATCAACATGTTGGAACTGAGAGCTGTGCGGTTGGTTTTCAAGCGCTTCCGAGAGCATGCCCAGGGCCAGGTGGTTAGTCTTCAGTTGGACAACCAGACGGCCATGTCGTACATCCTGAAGCAAGGCGGCACGGTGTCCCGAGCGCTCCTCCGGGAGACATGGGACTTTCTTCTCTGGTGCGACCAGTGCGATTGTCAGGTACTCCCTGTTTGTCTCCCGGGGCTGGAGAACGTGCGAGTAGACGCTCTTTCTCGCCGGATCCTGGCCCCGCACGAGTGGATGCTCGACCGGCAGATATTCGGAGTTATCTCCCAGTTGTACGGGTCGTTCCAGGTGGATCTGTTTGCGTCCGGCGGGACGAATCAGACACCTGTGTTCTGCTCTCGAATACCGGACCTGAGGGCGTTGGCTGCCGACGCCTTCCTGCTGGATTGGACGGGCAAAGTGCTCTGGGCGTTCCCACCGTTACCACTCATTCCCCGTGTCCTTTCACAGCTGTCCACCCAGCCAGCTCGGCTGCTTGTGCTACTGGCACCGCTTTGGCCGTCACAGAGATGGTTTCCGGTAATTCTCATCTTCTGGCTCAGCCTCCTGTTCTATTACCTTTACGACCGGACATTCTCACTCAGAACGGAGCGCCCCACCCCAATCCAAGGATTCAGTGGGTGGCTTGGCCTCTGTCAGGTCTAGCCTCGAGGCACGCGGAATTCCTGCAGCAGTTGCAGACACAATTCTGGCTTCGAGGCGGGATTCGACAAACGTTCAGTACGAGGATAGGTGGTCCCGCTATGCGCGCTGATGTTCAGATAGGGGGATTGCAGATCCCTTTTCTGCGGATTTAGTCCGAGTTTTGGAGTTTTTGCAAGCCCGTTTGGAAGAAGGCCTGGCGGCTTCGACCATTCGTGGCTACTCCACCGCTATTTCCACTTTTCACACCCCTGTCGATGGTGCTCTTCTGGGGCAGCACCCTCTCGTACAGAGCTTTTTAGCTGGCGCGGATCGGGTTCGACCTGCTGTCAGGCGAACCAGCCCACCTTGGGATTTGTCAATTGTGCTTGATTGGCTGTCCGGTCCCACTTTCTCACACCTATCGGCTATTTCCATTCAGTTGTTAACTTGGAAGGCTGTTTTTCTGGTGGCGGTAACATCTGGGCGTAGGGTCGGCGATTTACATGCTATGTCGTCCGACCCGGCGCTGACTGTTTCACACTGATCGTGTCAGTATTCGCCTCCCGGATACGTACCGCCCGAAGGTCGATCACGCTTTCCATGTGACAGCTCCTATCGAACGTCCCACTCTTACCCAGCCTTCCACATCGGGGACCTCTGCAACAAGCACTCACCCGTTGGATGTCCGTAAGACTCTCAAGGTCTATATCAAACGAACGCAGGGGATCCGTACGGGTACCCAGCTGTTCTGTTGTTACGGTGGCGGGAAGGCTGGTGTGCCGGCGAGCAAGCAGACTTTGTCTCGCTG